CCGTCTTTCATTCTTGTTGGCTCCCCTTGGTTTTGTAAGTCGTTCCTGTCCATTGTGGTTCCTGCTCTTCCCTGCCCCTTCCCAGTCCCTCAGCTCAGCATGGCAGGAACTGGCCAGCCCTTGCAGCCGTGGGAGAACCCCAAGCCAGCTCGGATGGCCTGTCGTCCAGATGTGGTATCCAATGTGGTATCCAATGTGCCTCTGGACTGGCTGCCCATGGAGCTGCGAGTGCCACCAGCAGGGCCCCAGTGTGACAGCTGGGTGCTGCTGGCCTTGGCTGGGGAGTGGCAGGCACAGGGTGGTGTCCCCTCTTGGGGGTCTGTGTGTGAGCAGGTGTGTGCAGTGACCCATGTCTGTGTCCATCATATCCCACTGCCCTGGGGAGGCGGTGCCATCCTGCTCCCTGTCCCCCCCACCTCAGCCATCCAGGAAGCCCCCGCTCCCCTCCTGGCCCTGAGCCGCCCGTCTGTGCCCGCAGGGGAGTCGGAGCTGTTGGCCCTGTCGGCCAAGGGCCGCCTCGTGTCCTGTGGCCTGTGCAGCCCCGAGGAGCCGGACGTGGAGCTGACCCCTGCTGAGATCGGCCGGAGGATCAAGGAGCTGCTGTCGGGGATAGGGGACACCTCAGAGAGGTAAAGGTGGCACCAAGCTGGGGGTTGAGCAGGTCATTGCCAGTAATTAATTATGGAATCTCGGAATGGTTTGGGTAAGAGAGACCTTAAAGCTCATCCCACTCCACCCCCTGCCATGGGCAGGGACACTTCCACTATCCCAGATTGATCCAAGCCCAGTCCAGCCTGGCCTTGGACACTTCCAGGGATCCAGGGACAGACACAGCTTCTCTGGGCAGCCTGTGCCAGGGTCTCCCCACCCTCATAGAGAATAATCCCTTCCCAATATCCCATCTAACCCTGCCCTCTGGCAGTGGGAAGCTGTTCCTCTTTATCCTTCACTCCAGGCCCTCGTCCAAAGTACCTCTCCAGCTCCCTCGGAGCCCCTTTGGGCACTGGAAGGGGCCCTAATGTCTCCCTGAAGCCTTCTTTTCTCCAGGCTGAACACCCTCATCTCTCCTCGAGTTTTTCTCTTGGAAAACTGCTCCAGCATTTACCTTTTCTGGCTGGGAAGCCCCCCCAACCTCCATAATATAAAACCAGCGTTTGAGGGCAGCCCCCTCCCATGGCACAGCCACCCCCAGCGCCGTGGGCGGGCTGGCAGCGGCAGCCATGGCAGCAGAAGGTGGCACGGGCAGGGTGCCAGGCGCCTGCCACGCGTGCCAAGCCAGCAGTAACAGGCAGGGCAGGCTCGTGCCTCCATCCTCCATGGCTGGCTGTGTGTGGGGAGGGGCTGTGGGAGAGCCCCCCCTCCACGCACAGGGGGATTCCTGAGGTCTGGCTGTCCGCAGGATCAGCTCTGATGGGAACATGGATCTGTGGCTGCCATGGCAGAGAAGATGGGGGGTTTCCTGTGGTGGGATCATGCCAGGAGCAGCTCAGCTTGGCAGCACAGCACCATCCTGGCCTCTCTCCCGTTGTTTCATCCCTGTCACATTGTCCTTGCAGAGTGTCCTTCCTGAAGAAGGCTGTGGACCAGAGGAACCGAGCCCTGGCCAGCCTGAACCAGGTGATGAACGTGAGCGCGGCGCTGCTCTCCAGCCACGAGGGCCACAAGCCCATCGCCTGCACCATCACTGCCAACTGGAGCTGCCTCCTGCTCCAGGACACCGTCACCATCTCCTGCTTGCTGGAAAACTGCAGCGAGTACAGCCTGGAGGAGGGCTGGACCCTCTGTGTCCAGCTCCTGGCCAGCCCCTGTGCCTTAGAGGAGGAATCCATGGATTCGGCCACCACCTTCACCTTCCCCATTGACCAGCTGCTCCCTGGGAACAAGCGGGAGCTGACGCTGCCCCTCGGCCCTGCTGCGGACACCAAGCTGGACCTGCCTCTGACCATCTCCTGTGCCCTCTACTACAGTTTAAGGGATATTTTGGGCAGCGGCTCCGACTCCTCTGAGGACCTGGATGACTTCCTGCCCGACGACTCACCCCTGCTGTCCCCGGACAGAGAGGGGATCTGCCTGCCCCTCAGCCAATGCACCATTGACATGCTCCAGTGCCTCCGTTTCGGGAGCAGCCCCCCCGGGCCCGACGTCCCCCCTGCTCCCTCAGACCCTGTGGAGACCTTCCTCAAAGTGTCCCAGGAACAGACTGAACCCGAGGAGGGGAAAACCGCGGGAGAGGAGAGCCTGCCCCCCTCGGCAGCATCCATCCGGGTGTCCTCGGAGCTGCTGAAAAATGCTCTCAAAACCTCGGAAACAGGTGGGTCCCTGAGCAGGAGCATCCCAGGAGTCTCAGAGGCTCCTGGGGCAGGGATGCTGGCAGGGTGTCTCTGTCACAGCCCCTTCCTTGGGCGAGGAGGGCTGTGTGACCCCACTGTCCCCACCACAGCACTGGCGTACGTGGCAGCAGCATGACTGAGCTCAGCGTGTCCCAGTGGGGTGGGGTCCAGTCCAGGGACTGCCTTGGGACTGTCAGCGGTGTCACATCTCTGCTCTGTCCTTTGGTCCCCAGATGTCCCACTTTGCTGTGCCACCCTGCGCTGGCTGCTGGCTGAGAACCCCGGGGCCGAGGCACTGAGCAGCACGGAGGTGGTGTCGGCGTGTGGCGTGGCGCCCGACGGTGGCCACGTCCAGCTGCTCGTCCGAGAGGCAAGGAATGGGTTAGCCCTGAGCCGAGGAATGGGTCAGCCTGCAGGGAAGCTCCCTGTCCCACAAAGCCAGCTCCTTCCTGGAGCCAGGGGGACCAGTGGATGAATGGTCACGCCACTCTGACCCCCTCCTGTGGGGCTGGGGTTCGAGTGCTGGGCTGGACAGGCAGCATTCCCAGTCCATTCTCCCAGCCCTGAGCTTCCCAAAGGCTGTGGTCATTTCCCTCCCTCTCCAGATGTTTCCATTTCTTTGGTTCTAGAAAATGCACTTGGATTTGGGTTGTAAACCCACCCCATGCAAAATTCCCCTCTAAAGACACAGGGAAACCAGGGATTTCTACCCAGCTCTCCTGCCTGACCCCACCTGGGGGGCCCCAAGGTACCTGGCACAGGTGGATTTGCACCTGAGAGCTCAGATGTCCCCAGGGTGATGAGTGACAGTGTTAATTCTGCCAGGTTCAATCCTGCCAGGACCCACCTGGTAGCACCGGGCTGGGGGCAACTTCCTGGGGGGGTCTGGGGGTTTCTGGAGCCTTCTGGGGAACCCAGTGCCCATGGGGAGGGGTTCTGATGCCCCTCTGCCCAGCGAGGGTGGCAGTGACACTGCTCTCACTGTCCAGGTGGCCATGAATGACCTGAGCCCTGCGGGTCCCATCCAGGCTGTGGAGATCCTGATGGAGAGCCCATCCCTGGCCCACATGTGCAGGACACACCACGCCGTCATCCGGCGCATACAGGTACCCCCCCAGGGCAGGGGGGACCCCAAGTGACCCCAAATCCCCTGGAATGGAGCCTTGGGTGCAGTGGGGGGCGTTTCTGTGGCACCATGGTGTGACAGACCAGCACTACTGGAGGTGGTCCCAGGTTTGGGGCTCAGACTCCCTGAGACTCAGAATTCCCAAGGCTGGGGCTCTCAGGATCTGGGGGCTGCTGGAGCTGGGGCTCCCAGAGCTGGGGGTCCCTGAGGCTCCAGGCATTGGGGTCCCTGGGGCTGGGTGCTGCCAGCTCTCCCAGCAGCCTCCCTCCCTCCACAGGCGCTGGTGCTGGAGCAGGCGGCGCAGGGCTCGGGACCCCCCGACCTCCGCATGCAGTACCTGCGTCAGATCCAGGCCAACCACGAGGTGAGACCCCCGACCCCCTCCCCGTGGGAGCCCCACCACCACCCCGTCCCTCACCCCCTGCCCCCGTCCCGCAGATGCTGCTGAAGGAGGCGCAGACCCTCCGGGACCAGCCGCCCCCGGGCCAGGAGGGGGCCGAGGGCTCTGCCACGGCCGAGAAGCTCCTGAACATCTACCGGCAGCTGCGGAACCCCAGCCTGGTCCTGCTGTGAGCGGGGGGCGGCCCAGCCCGCCCCAAACCCCGCCGGCCGGGGTGGGGGCCAATGGAGAGCCCCCCACTCCACCCCACCAGAGCAGGAGCGGGGCCGGCGGTCGGGGCGGGGGGGGGGGGTGTGTCTGTGCGTGTTTCGTGGTCGTGTTGTCGGCAGCACCGGGGGGGTCTCGGGGCTCCGGTGGCGGAGCGGGGGCTCCTGGGCTGGCCCAGCCCTGCCCCGCCGCCCCCCAGCCCGGCCAGGCCGGGGCAGCCCCCCGGGGCCGCGCTGTCTTGTGGATCCGTGGTAGTGTAGTGGCCGTGCCGAGCCGGGCCGGCCGCGGGCTGAGCCCCCCGAGCCGCCTTCAGGATCAGGACAAACAGGGTGCTGTGCCCGGGGGAGCCCCGTTTTCTGCTGGGCAGGGGAGGGGGTCTCCGCTCCCCCGTTGTTTCTACAAATGATCTCGTATCTCCACGCTGGTGCGCCGTGGTCCGGCCCCGGCCCCTCCCGCACCTCCCCACTGTCTGTAACTCTGTCGTCTGCCATGAAAACGATCCTGTTGCTCACCCCGTGCCTGGCTCTGTTCCTTTCCATCGTCCCGGAGGGTCCTGGCAGCTCTCGGGGTGGGGGGCTTCCACTGCCACCTCCTCTGCTCCCCCAGCCTGGCAGAGGCGCCACGGGCTCCCCAACCTCCTCGGGCTCCAGCCTGCAGTGGCTTTGCTTTGCAAATCCCCCTCCCATCCCGTGTGGCACCCCTGGGGGGTCCCTGCATCCCACTGGCCCCCGGCTCAGCCCTTTCCATGGCGCTCCCGGGAGGGAAACGGGGCTGGATCTCGATGGGAAGGAGGACGCGGCGCCACCTCAGTGCGATCCAGGTGACTTTAATGCCGTGAGTCGCCGGGGGCACAGCTGCCGTGGACAGGGCCACCGCTGCCACCACGCCGCTCTGCCAGGGACAGGCGGGTGCCCGTGGGCCGGGGGGCTCCCGGGGGTCAGTACTCCCAGAGCGTGGCCCGCAGCACGGACTCGCTGTCGGCTCGCAGGGTCCCCGCGGGGTCCCCGCGCAGGTACCGCCCGTTCTTCCCTTTGATGGCCACTCGGCCCCGCTCCCGGAACTCGAAGAAGAAATCCTCGGAGAGGTCCCCGTCGCTGCACACCGACCCGCTGCTCGCCACGTACCAGTACTTGCCCCCCTGGCCTGCAGGGAGCCCCGGGGGGTGTCAGCGCAGGCTGGACGGACCCCCAGGGCCACCCCACCCCGTATCCCCCTCCCACCCGCCCACCTTGGATCTGGTAGGCGCCGTCGCTGAAGCTGATGTGGAAGACGTCGTAGACGGAGCGGTTGGAGTCGAGCAGGTTGGAGCCCCGGTGGTAGCAGACGAAGCCGTGCTCCCCCCGCAGCACCAGCATCGGGCGGTTGATCAGCTTCAGAGTGAACTCCTCATCCTCCCCTGCACAGCACCCGGCCCTCAGCACCCCGGGGACCCCCTCCCCGTCCCCCCTGTCCCCCCCAGCACTTACCCACAGTGTCGCTGACGGCCGCCAGCTGCCCGTTCCTCTTGGTGCAGACGTAGCGGCCGTTGCTGGCGCGCAGGGCCACGCGCCGCCCGCGCCACTCGATGTCAAACATGGTGTTGGCAGCGCTGGTGACCGAGGGACAGCGTGAATTCTGAGTGTCTGTGTCCCCCCCCGAGCCATCTCCACCCCACACCGCTGCCTCACTCACATTTCGGTGGCCACGGCCTGGATGCCCCCGTGGGCCACCAGGGTCCAGTAGCTGCCGGTGTTGGTGTGGAGGCTGCACTTGTTGGTGTCGCGGTCGATCTGCAGCTGGAAGGTCTCGTGGTTCAGCTCCTCGTCCTGGTTTGCTGAGACATTCACACCTGGGGGGAGAGTGGATGTTGGTGCTGGTCCTGCTCTGGACATGAGCACTGGCCACACTCTGGCCACTGGCACTGGTCTCTCTGACTGCCAGCACTGGTCCTCTCCTGGCCCTGGGCAGCAGTCTCAGCCTGGCCATGGTCACCGATCCCACTTTGGCACTAGTTGGCACTAGTCCTACTCCAGTCATCATCAATGACCCTGCTCTGGCCATTGTCACCAATCCCACTCCAGCCACAGGCACCGATCCCACTCCAGCCATTGTCACCAGTCCCACTTGGGCCATCAGGACCAGTTCCAGTCCAGCCATTGTCACCGTCCCGTTCCAGCCATTGGCACCCATCCTATTCCAGCCATGGGTATCGCTTCCACTCTTGGCCACTGTCACCAAAGCCACTCTGTCCACGGTCACTGATCCCGCTCTGGCCATTGGCAGCGATCCTGCTCCGGCCATCAGGACCAATCCCACTGCAGCCATTGTCCCACCCCAGCCATCACCACTGCTGCCCCACGGCCACCCTCCCCCTCCCCCCCAAATCCTGCGAACAATTGTGCTAATTGGGCTGGTTAATCAGCTTGTCACCGCCGTGTCCATCTGGTCACAAACCCCTATTTATAGCCGGTCCCCCCCGTCACCCGGCACTAAGCTGCTTGGCACAGGGGTGGCACCGTCCCCGGGGGGCACCTGGGGGCGAGTGGGGTCCCTTGGGTCTCCACCAAGGGGTTCTGCTCACCTGTGGTCACACCCGCTGGCTCTACACACGTGTGTGCACACGGGGTGTGGTACGTGGTGTGCACAGGTAAATGTGTGACCCTGTGGATGCTGCACGGAGCACGTCACACCTGTGTGTGTGTGTGTGTGTGTGTGTGCGCACGTACACACCTGTGCACAGCCACAGCCCTGCACCACACACACACACAGCCCTGTGCACGCCCACAGAGCCCTGCACATGCACACACGTGTGTACACGCACACCCACGCGTCCCCCCCGCCGCCCTGCCCACCCCACTCTGTCCTCACTGACCTCAGTGCCCCCCTAGGCAGACGGGACCCCCCATGCCCCTCTCCAGCAGCCACGCCGGGGTCCCCCATGTCCCCAGGATGAGGTTGTAGGATCCCCCCCGGCAGGCACAGCGCTGTGGGGTTGCTACTGTGGGGTCTCTCCCGGGATGGGGGTCCCAGGTGTGCTCCCACGGAGTTGTGGGGGTCCCTGGGTGGGCAAGGAGCGGGCCGGGAGGGGTGTGAGGAGCTCTTACCCTGCCGGATGGACACATATCTGCCGTTGGCCGCTGTGAACACCACCTGGGGGTGACTCTCCTCCAGGTCAAAGAGTTCATCTTTGCCCGGCTTGGAGCTGCGGCCGGATTTGAGAGTGCCGGTGGGTCCGGTGGGCGCCAGGTATTTCCCGTCGCAGTCCTTGAACGCCAACTTGCCGGCCTTGAACTCGAGGGTGTAACCGGTGCCGGCGCCGGGCTCGGGCACCAAGGTGCCATCGCAGCGCAGGTAGCGCTCGTCGGCCGTGCGCAGGCTGTACTTCTTGTCCTGGAAGCACAGGGTGATGAGCGCGTCCACCCCCCAGGGCAGGTTGCTGTCGGTGGCGATCTCGTCCTCGTGGGCGCTCAGGTGGGCGTAGCGGCGGCGGCTGACACTCAGCAGGTTGGCCTGGGGGTGCATGGCCAGGTGCACGGTCCAGAGCTCCCCCTCGGTCACGCTGGGGGCGAAGCAGGACAGCCGATCCTCGCGGCCCCCGAAGAAGCGCCGGTGCGGGGCCGACTGCAGCGCCCAGCGCCCGTCCGACTGCGTGATGATGCTGAAGCCTTCGTCCCGGCCCGGCTGCTCCGCCTCGCAGCGCACCTTGCCGTCCTTGTCGGCGCCCAGGTAGCGGCCCAGGTGGCTCTTGAGGAAGACGATGGAGCTGTCGGCTTCATCCTGCTCCAGCGTCCAGATCTGCTTGCGCTTGAGGCTGGGCGCCGAGGCGTTCACCTTGTAGCCGAAGCTCTCCGCCGTCAGGTACCGGCTCTCGCAGTTGATCAACCCGAACTGGATCTTCAGCACCTGGTGGATCCCATTCGTTGGCATCTTCCGCCGAGGCGGGGCGGCCCCCGGGGGCCGGCGGGGGCTCCCCCGGCGCTGCCGAGCCCGGGCGTCGCGGCGGGGCCGGACGGAGCGCCCGCGGCGGGGGCGGCTGCGCTGCCCCGGACCCACGGAGCGGGACGGGGGCCCGGGGGGCTGCGACCCGCTCGGTTAGCCGCAGGTGCGATTAGAGACCGGCCGGCTTGCGATGGGCACCGGGGGCGCCCGGGCGAGGGGGCACCGCGGCAGCCCCCGGCCACGCCACCGTCCCTCGCCGCGGCCCCGTCCGGCTGTGGCGGAGCCGCGGGTGGAAAACTTGGGTGGGAACCCGATCCGGGCCGGCGTATCCGTTCCGATCCCGGCGGGTTAAGGTTACCGGCCCCTCTGATTCAGCAGCGGGTCACCTCCAGCCGCGCCGCCTCCCGGCCAGCCCCTAAGCGCCTTTTCCAATTAGCCAGGCATTTTGATTAGTGTAAACCTTTTATCCTGCTTTGGGGCCCTTGGTCTCCATCTGTCCTGCGGCCCCAAATCCCTCCTGCAGCTGTGGATCGGGGTCACGGACACCCCCAACCCCCCAGAGCCAACCCCCTGGGCGTGGGCTCCTCCGGGGCTGAGCCCGCCTGGAACTCGTGACAGAGATGAGGCTCCGGCCGCTTGGCGGGGGACAGGAGAGGACGGGGGCGTGGGGGACAGGAGGGGACAGCGGTGTAGGGGACAGTCCCCGCTCCAGCCCTAGCCGTGATGGGACCCCCAGCCGGGGCAGGCGCAGCCGCGGGGGCCCCCGGCCTCGGCCCCGCTGCACCGGGGGCACCTGGGGACAGGCGGGGACGTGCTGTGCCATCACCTGGCTCCCCCGAAAGTGCCCCGACTCCCCGTGCCGGGGTCTGGCCGTGCCGTGGCGATGCCGGAGCGGCTCCCGCCGCCGTCCCCCCGGGCCCTGCGGCTCCGGTGTCAGCTCGGTGCCCGGTTATTGTTCCCGCAAACAGCCCCAGCTTTGGTTGCTCATGACTTTTTCATGCCGGGCTGGCTCTGCCCGCGCCGGGGGGTGCCGAGGCCCCCCAGAGCCGCGACACCCGAGCCGCGACCGCCCAGCCGCTGTAACTGACCCCCGAAACGGAGCCGGGTCGGCTTTCGGGCCGCGGCAAGGGGGGAATAAGTGGGTCAGGGTCCTGGGAGGCCCGGGGGGGCTCCCGTGGGTGGCAGCGTGGCTCTCGGTGGGTGCCCGCCGGCACCTGCCCGGCAGCGGAGCCGGGAGCGGCATTTATACATCCCGGGCCCCCCCGCCCCCCCGGCGGGGTCAGGTTCCTCTCGGGGGGGCTCTGGGCGCTGTCCCACAGGCACAGCGTGTCCCTCCCCCGCCTGGGGACTGCCAGACCCCTCCCCACTGAGGGCTGCTGAGACCGGACATGTTCGCGACAACCCCTCTGGCCGGGGCACCGCTGGGGACTGGGGTGGGTGTCCCCCCGATTTCCATCCAACACCCTTCCCAGGAGGAAAATGAGGGTGCTGGGGTGCCAGAGGGGGGTCCCCAGTCCACAGCACTGGCAGAGGGGAAGGCGGGGTTCAGCTGGCTGTGCCCCACACGCCCGGGGGATCATTCAGAGTTTTGGGGTGAGGGTGGTGGTCGGGGTCAGGTGGGTGTCGGGGCGCTGGGTGGTGGGAGCCGCTCCTGGTTTCCATCCAGGGAGGGATGTGCGGCTGTTGCGCTCCCCGGGGACCCCAATCCCTGGTCGGGAGCTGGCACAGGGATGGGTGGGGGGGGGTATCAACCGTGCCCCAGCAGCCCGGGGGTGTCAGGGCAGGGGCTCGGGGGGTCCGGTGGGTATCAGGAGGGGTATCGGGGACCTGCGAGCTGGGACCGCCCCCGTCACCACCCCATCACTCCTCCCCTGCGCACGGGCACCGGGGACGGACGGACGCACGGACACCGGGCGGCGGGGCGGGGCGGGGGTGGTACCTTCCTCCTCCCCCTCTTCCTCTTCCTCCTCCTTTTCCTCCTCCTCCTCCTCGTCCTCCCGCCCCTGCCCCTCCCTGCCCGGCCCTGCCCGCCCCGAGTCAGGGGTGGGGGCGGCCCACGCGGGGTGGCCCCGGTGCCGTGTCCGGGCGGGGGGCGCGGCCGGGATGTCCCCCGGGGTCCCGCGGGATGCGGGTGTCACCTGCGCAGCCCTCCCCGAGCCAGACCCCCCCGGGGCCCTCCATTTCCCCCCACCGGCGGGACCCGGCGCTGGCGCGGGGACATGCGACCCTTGGAGCTGTGCCGCGACCCTCCGGGACCCCCGTCAGCCCCCCGAGGCCATCCCGAGGCGCTGCTGCCTCTGTACCCCGACAATCCCCGTGTCGCCCATCCCGGTGGCGCCGGGAGCTGCTGGGAAGGGCTGGGCAGGGGTGGGAATCCCGTGGGGACGGCGACGCCAGTGGCCACCACAGCCACGGGCCCGAGTGGCACCAGGAGCTGGCGTGGGTGGCTGGTGCGTGGGCCTCTGGCACACCATGTGGCTACCTGGCATGATAGGTGGCTACTTGGAGTGGTACATGGCTAATGGGACATGGGACATGGCTACCTGGCACAGTGTGTGGCTACCTGACACGGCATGGCTACTTGACATGGGGTGTGGCTACCTGGCATGGGGTGTGGCTACTTTGGTACATGGGACATGGCTACCTGGTGTTACACGGCTGCCTGGTGCAGCGCCCGGGCCTCCGGCACAACGCGTGGCTACCTGACATAGCACATGGCTACCTGAGATGGTCCAAGGCTACCTGATGTGATATGTGGCACCTGACACAGCACATGGCTACCTGACATTGGGCGTGGCTACCTGGTGCCACTGCATGACCAGCCAGGAGCCCTGGCACACTCCTGTGAGGCACTGCATGGCACCCATGGCAGGGGGGGCACAGGGCCCGAGGCACCCCCAAAGGAAAAGGGGCTCGGGCGTGAGGAGCCCCCAGGGTGGGGGTGCCGGAGTTGGGGCTCCAGTGGGGCTGGGGTGGCTCAAACTGGGGTGTCCCTGGGGTCACTGGGATGTCAGCCCAGGCGTGCGGTGTCCGAGGAGCGCAGGGGCAGCGCGGCTGGGCCAGGGGTGCTGGGGGAGCGCGGGGGGTCAGGGGGTGCCCGTACCCCGGGGGGCACCCGCCGGTGAGAGCTGTCACCTCCGGGACACGCAGTGTCACCTGCGGGGGTGAAGGGCACAGTCGGGGTGCACCGGGGGTCCCCAGCCCGGTGCTGTGTGTAAGGGGGGGATGGTTGGGTGGTCCCGGGGGGGTGTCACTGGTGAGGTGTGCAGGACCCGCGGGTGGGGGGGCCCGGGTGCCCTGGGTGGGGGGGCAGGTGGGTAATGGGGGGGGGCCAGTGCCAGGTGG